CCCACCCCCCCCCCCCCCCCACCCCTCTTAAAAGTCCTTGAAATAAATGAGTCCCTGGGGAAATTAATATGGGATTTACGGTACTTTCCTGACTTAATTTCAGCTGGTAAGAATATTAAATCTTATAATCAACCACCCACCAAAAATGCCGAAGTGTTTCCACTCAGAGCAACATAACTGAAGCCGGTGACTCTCCTAGGCGATCACCTTCCGTAAGCGACAGAAAACTTTGGGTGGTCGCATACATCAGGTTCGACTGTAAGTTACAATCATTCGGAAAGAACTCAAACAGTCACCGTCACTTTAAAATGTAAAGAAATTACGAAATTTGAAATAAATTTTGTAATGTCTAACCGCCAAACAAAGTTTCCTTTATTACTGTCAACTTGACCTGTGATAAGCAGATCGACGCTACACGTGGCATCGGTTGAGTTCGTTGCCCGATAAGTGAAAAAAATAATTGCTAGTTAAAATGACGATTGCAAATGCGGGGATTATGATCCCAGGATTAAATATATTCCAAAATACCTTGCTGTTTAATTGATGCCTTCAAACTCGAGCGTTACGTCATCACCAATGAGAACAAAAGGCGCCCAGTACTTCACTGCGCTAAAGTCGTCAGATTCTCTCATGGATTTCATAACTTTATCCAGGGCCTCACTGGCACTTCGTCCATGGACTAGTTCTTGGTAGAAAACTTTCATGAACTCCATAGTAGCTTTGTCGTCGATCGCCCACAGGGACACCAGAACAGCTCGAGCACCAGCACCCAAAAAAGCCCGTGCGATGCCGACCACGCCCTCAGATTTGACTTCTCCCCGAGCACTATGACAACAACTAAGTACAACAAGTCTTGCCCTTATCTGCGCATCTAAAACATCTTTCATAGTTAAAAGATAGTCCTCCCTTGCTGGATTTACGGATGAACGCGTTGTGTTAGGGGCCAAGGCAATTTCTCCTGTTTCCATTTCACCGTGAGCAGCAATATGCACCAAAGCAACAGAGGAGATACGTCTCAAAACTTCATCTTTTGTTGCCTGCTTTCCAACGAGAGGTACAGTGTGAAGAATTTCCCCAATCATCTGCACTTCTTTTTCGGCCCATGCTAACTGCTCTAGCGTCGTTACCTCCTGTACCCACGGATCGCCGACGAGAAGAGCGCCAGTCTTGCTGTGCCAGTCTGCTGGACAATTTTGTATTAATCGAAGACTAGAAAGCGAGGGGAGCAGACGAATTCTGAAAGTTTCGCAGAGGTACTTTGATTTCATGTCCATAAAAGCGGCATAAGGCGCCAAACACAGAGGTCCTTCTGGAACAATCACAATTTCATCGTCGTCGAGTAAGTCTCTTATGGGGCCTATAACAACATTGTACAATGTTTGTAATGACTTTGTCTCCTCAAAAGATGAGGAATTAGGCCTTGGCTCACTGGATCTTTCTTCTGCTAACTGTTTATCTCTTGGGTTCCTCAATGAACGATCTTCACAATTAACATCAGCTTTCAAACCTATTTCTTCATGTGTAGTTTCCAAAAGACACTGAAAATAGTTTGTGATATTGAGATAGGTTGAGATATCGATCACAGTTCTTCTAGTTTTGATTTCATTTCCCTTTTCGTTCACCCAGAGAACTATTTCTCCCTCTCTGATACCGATGAATACCGTATTTGGTGGTAAGTAACTAGCAAAGTCACTTGGTCTTGCAGAAAGTATTCCTATTTCTGGGTGTAGCCCTTTAAGGCCATACTTGAACTCCAGAAGATCATTCAAAGCCCGTGCACGTCCTTGATCAGCAGTTAAAAGTGCATCAATGACTTTACCTTCCTTAAACTGCAGCTCCCACAGCCTCAAATTAATCTGATCATACGTACTTTTAAGGGTAATCTTCCATTCGTCGTTAGATATGAGATTTCTCCTAATGTGGTCGAAGGCTACAACACTGTTCTCATAACACTGAACGGCTTTCTGGAAATCTCCAAGACTG